ATCAAGACTTATTTTTAAGGAAGTTGACATTTGGAGCTAGTCGTTTTGAGAAAGATCACACCTGAGAACTCTGTTTACACGTCATGCACATGATCTCTCATGCACTGTGACTTGTTTACTTTGCTGACTTTTTTTAGAGTAAGTGCCTTTAATTGCAGTACCTCTGCTAGTGAAATAGCAGATTTGTTTGTTGATTTATGCATAGCTTTGAGGCTGAAGGGACCATATTTTGACTTTACATTACGTTCAAAGCTCTTGAATTATCCGCAGCTCTGAAAATAAGAAATTAAGCACTCAATTTCTGAACTGCTACGTCAGCCATTTCCCATAAATTGTGATCTGCACCCTTGCTTGAATGTATTACAACAGCTGGTTATTAAATATGCAAACTATGTATGAAGCATTACACTTTGGACTTTGTAAATAAAATTCAATCTTTTGCAACACTTATTCATGTCTGTATTGTAGCACCAAGTTTTCATGTGAAATTCTCTTCCACCACAGCCTGTTATTTAAAAAGTAAAAGGTACTGGAAAAAGTTTTTGGACATTAAGAAAGCAATGCAGAACTGTTGTGGAGTTTCTGAGTTTAAAACCCTCAGCCCCATTAATCATCTAGTAATTGACTCCCATCAGGTTCCTCCTGCTTGTTTTCACAGCTCTACAAACAGTCTAATGCTTTTATGTGCGATGTTATGGTGATGATGTTGATGACCTGCCAGTCATGCCATGTGCTGGGGAGTGTGTTTTGGAAACAATGTTGCATCGTTTGGCCCACTATAGCGTCTGATTCTGATATGGATCCATGGCTTTCCACATTTGTGTCCCTTGACAAGCGAGAGCGCTGTGCTGAAAGAAATTGACTCCACACAGCCCTGCACACTGAGGGGAGCCCCTCGAAGATCACTCTGAACTTTCCCTAGTATAGTGGGACTGGTTCGCTGGAACTATATACCTCAGCCAAGTACAGATGGCAGCGTGCACTATGGGTGGAGCACCGAGGAAATCACCGTGCATCTGGCACATGCAGTAAAGGGAAGCACTTTGCAGGCTCTCTTCGATATCACCCCAGCGGAGCAGGATTTATTGGCTCTCACCCCAGCGTTAGCATATTCTTCTCATTGCCCCACAGAAGCTTGCAGTACTCCTGGCTGGAAGCAGAGAGATTGGTGAACATACTAATGGTATGATAGACAATGGCTAATGTCAATAGTGTCAGAAAAGCCCACATGATGTGGCCTGTGCTGCGAATGCAGACGTGCCATCAGAACGAGTCCTGCTACTGCTCTTCTCCTTGACCATTGTTTACCTGGGTGGATTGCCTGAGGGCACACCTGTGGACTGTACCTGGACGGTAACATCAAGCGTAAACACTGCCAGAACCTAGTGGACACCAATCCATAATCTGGCTCATCTAAAAAGGACATGTTCCCTAGTCCTGATTAGGGTTGGAACAGTACTCGTTTTCACAGTTTTGGTTTGTATTTTGGTTCACAGGTCATGGTTCAGTGAATTTCGGTTTGGTTGTTTTCCAGAGCAACCAAGATGAACTGTATATACAGACAGAAAACACAAACATTCCTCACATAGCAACTCTTTATTGCTGAATGACAAAAAATGTCTTGCCCTGAAATAAAAAATGATGTCAGGACTCCAGATTAACTCTCCCAGTGAGCTTTCTAGGCTGCTTGCACCAGCACACGATTTGGTTGCAGCATGGTGTTATGGTTGAAAGCGGGATTATTTCTTTTTCACTACCACAGTCTGCCTCTCCCTCTCTGTACCTGCACTCTTATCATCACCTGTGTCTGTCTCGGGACTAAGGTTGGGCTGATGGTCAGTGGTATCGCCTACGGCTGATAGACGTCACGATGTTGAACCAGCATATCCCATTCGCCCAGTCTTAGACAAAGAATTCCTAATCATTATATTATTTTCCCTTTTTTTCGCCATTTCTCCTTCTGCACAGTTAAACTGAGAATATTTCATGTTAAAAGTGTCATAAATTAATTATTAATATTGTAACGACTAGATGAATCTCTTGTGGATTTATTGTCACATCCTGGCTATTATCTTAGTTTTCCGCATTGCATTTGAGCAGCCCTAGTTTAAGCTAACTACCTAGCCAGACTTCAGTGACTTCAAGTAATCAATTACATTTTTTCTGATTAGTTAATAATATGAGACAAACAAAATTTTCAAAGTTCCCAATCATACCTTTATTTAGAAAAAGCAGAACAGCACACTCTATAGGCTGTGGTACGTTTTTAGCAACAGAGTCTGTTGACATCATTACTACATCACTATGACTAGTAAGTATAGTATAGCTGTGAGTCTGAAATAACATGCTTCAGTACTTAAACTTGCTATTTGAGTGCATAAGTACAAGTAAGCTTACTGAAGTTTGCAGTTTTGAGACTCACAGCGGGTTATACATAGAAAATATAAGTAAAGACTGAGTGTGTCGAGGAAGATGGGTTGTAAAGGGGTTCATATGTGCAAAAAAATAAAAATAGTAAACAATTTATAGTAATTAAGTACTTAATAAATTTATGAATAGTCATTTAAAAAGTGTAATATTTAGTTAAAATTAAAGACTATATAAGGGTAGACTGACAACATGGTTAGCTGGGAATGAGAGGACATGCCTCATAAGGCTGACTTATTAAGAAGAGTGTAGAAAGAAATGTGATTTTATGTTTAAGCATCATGCCAAAACTCTGATAGTGGCCTTGTTAACCAATTCATAAATGTTACCGTAGGGTAGACCCTGACCTTTTCAGTGGTAATCATGGTGGCAGTGGTAGCTGGGACAAATCAGCCTACTGTCACCTGCTTCTGTCATTCCATCAAAGTTTAAACTACAGATTTGAGTACTCTGGGCAAGAACCAAAAATGAAAAGGGTGCTAACATGGAAAAGTGTTAGAGGTTCACCTGTGCAAGAGAGTGGCCTCGTCCGCTTATCTTCTGGAGCTAGGGGGTGGACATTGAGGAACACAGAAATACTCCTTAATGTTTACGTTATGGGGCTGCAAGCCACCTGCTCCTTATAAAGCATAGTGGCTTCACCCACGTTACACATTGTGGCTTGAATCCCATCCTCATCTGTTTGTATGTATTATTTGCGTTTGCAAAGATTTCCTCTGGCCACTCTGATTAGTCATATCCTGTGTACAAAATTATTAGGTAAGTACTGTTCCTGAAAATGAGATAATTACAGTCTAATTGGATGCTTAAATGCTCTTCATTTTCCATGAAGAGAAACAAAGCCATATTAATTACTAAATCTATTTACAAAACATAATATAATAAATAAGAAATAAATAAGATAACCTCTTTGCTTTTTAATGTCCGTCATGAATCTTATTAATTGACCTAGCTAAGTTTTTATTTATTTATTTTTAAAATCACATCCTATATTAGCAGAGGCAGCTAGGATAGCCTCCTAGATGCTTTCAGAAATGTACCGTTTGCTGCCTTGGTAAATTTGACACTATAGCAAGAGCCATTAGTTATCAATGAGGTTTAAGTTAGGCGATTAGCATTCAAGCCCTTTAGCCAGCCAATCTATGGAATACTGTGGTGAGTGGGAAAGGCCATTGCCCTGCATGAGTATCATAGCTGTTTGGCAAATTGCTTTCTTCTTGAACCACTCTATAAGGAAGGCATCCTTTCAAATTGAGAGTCATAGTGTTATACCATTTGAATGTTGGAAAGTTCCAAGTGGTGGGTGCTTGATTCAAAACTGCTGATTATGTCCTTTTTATAATGCAGCCTTGGGCCCATCCATCTGTTCCATCAAGAGTCAATCTCATCTGTCCAGAAAACTTTGTAAAATTGATTTTGGGATGTCTGTTCCTGATTTTTGAGCGTTTTTGTGCGCTTGTGTCTCTTATCGAGTAGAGGTCATATTTGAGCCTTCATTACGTTAGGTATGCTGTCTCCCACACTACACATAGTACTTCTGGAGATTCCATTCAAGACTGCATTGGTGGCACTTGATGCTAAAAGATTCCTGGATGGGGTTGAGCATTGAAACTTGGTGTCGATATGGCACCGGTTCCTACACGATCGTAGGATTGTTCGTGTGTATTGCGGTATCAGTCTTGATTTCAGATCTGTTTTGCCATTGGGAAGCATCCATGGTTTGCTCTGTGATTCCAAATAGGATGTCCTCAAACCAAACACTGAGCATTCTATATTCCCGATCTTTCCATTATTAATCTGAGCTTAATCTGTACTGAAAACTTTGGTATGAACAGAAGGTACAAATAAAATACACACAACATTGGCCCTTTCTCAGCTGTGGTCAACTCATTGATAAAAGTGTGTTATCCAAGTGTGTATATGATTTCCTTTTAGAGATAAAGGTAGTTTTTTCTCTAAGAATGGCACTGTAGTGATTAAACCTCAAAGCAAGGATGTAAATGAATGATTTTATAATTCAATCATTCAGTTTGTGACTTATTAAATGGTTATTGTATGCAAATACCATTTTTTATTTAACTGTGTGTCACAGAGTAGTTTTTTATGTGGCAGCCGGTTGTTTGCATGTGGCACACATTCCGTGGATGCACTTGGGGAGCCAATATTTGTCTTCTTGACCCAGAGTTGTACCACATGCAAATTGGCTCCTTTCTGTGGATCGGCGGTATTTTCAGGGTTGATTCTCTCGCATGTGATTTTCAGTAGGCCTATGGTATATTTTTATTGCATCTAGCAGTTAGGTTTCCCAGTGTGATTTGCTCTTTACAGAAAATATATTGGATAATGCCTAGTAGCTGCTCTGTATATATCATATTAAATGAGACCATAAACCTTATAGACTGTTCCTCCTAATGTGTGTTCCTCTAAATAAATTTCCCAGTATGAGAATGTGTGCGCCCAGTGATGGACTGGCAATCCCATTCAGGGTGTTCCCCTACCTTGTGCTCTGGGCTGTACATCTATCATTTTTGCATCTCACACTCATCTTCTGGGAATCACCTGGCAACATGGTACATACAGCAGAGAATCTGTGCTCCATTCCTGACATTAGAGTCCTAGAAATATGGTTGAGGTGTCAGATTTTCTCATTAGTGATCAATCTCAGGCTGACATGTTTGCATGTCCCCCTCTTTAAATCTCACACCTTTCCTCAAGTCTTCTGGGAATTAACTGCTTCTGAGAAATACTAATGTAGGGTAGGGTGGAGGTAGGGTAACCCAGATTGTATATTATTATATTATTATTCATATCTAAAATGAAATCTCACAAACAAAAATATATCAAAAATCTGTTATCAGTGATTTTAATAGTAGTAGATGGCTTAATGTGTATCACTAGGGTATCTCACACAGCCAAGTATCTCAAGACATATGAAATCTCATTATTTTAAATTCTCCACTGATCATATTTCATATCTACAACATAAATTATTTTCAAATGTATGACTCATTTATGTGCCCATTACTATAGAGCAGCAATATATTCTGAATGTCATTTTAATTATTAAATGCTCACTATAGATATTTTATGAGACTCTTACACTTTGGTGCTTGCATGTTCTTCCTGTGTGCATATAAGTTTCCTCTAGGTAGTCAGAGTTCTTTCCATGCCTCAGTCTAAGCTCCAGGCTTAGCATAGTGATGTTTTGGATAAGCAGTTGTAGTGTTTCTCCTGAAAACAAAGATACATTTTAAGGAAGTAAAGAACCTAAAATGAACTGCAAGCTTACTCATACAGCTCCAACATCTGCTTCTCCAGTGCAGTGCACAAGGCAGGGAATGCCAATACATTATATATATATATAAAATGTGTGTGTTTTTGCTAATTTGCAAAATACTGCTCGGTCAGCTGTAATTTCTTGCAGAGCCAACACTGTATTTTACAGTGCTTTCTTTGCACAGCAGTATCTACAATGATATATGCATAGTATTAGCCAGCAGGAGGTACAACATGGCATGTTATTCCATCTACCTTCTAACAACTTACTCTGTTCAGCATCCCTGGAGCCTGTTCCAGGCAGCATGGAACACAAGGCTGGCATACAGCGTGGCTGGATGGGATGCCAGTTCATCATGAGACACACAGCCTTATACTACGGGCAATTTAAATACTGTATACCAACTAGTCCAACTGCAGACTGAAGTACCCAGCAGAAACCCACACAATACAAGAGGGGGTATTCAGACTCCCAGTCCCAGGTGCTACTCACTGAGCCACTGCATTGCACCGTGCAATTAAATTTAACTCAGTTGACCTTTATCCCACTAAAACCTAGTTCTCTATAGTCAGATAAATTCACATTAGGAATTTTAGAGGAGAAAATGTGATGGAGTGTCTACTACAAATGTAGCATCTTGGCTCCAGGGCGAGGGAGGGGGTGTTGAGAGATGTCTACTTCCCTCTCCCCCCACTTGGTTTTTAGATTGGTATTCCTAAAGCGACATTAAGATTTGTTTCTTTACTTTTAATGAAGTATAGCTGTTCTTTGCCTCTGTTCTTCAGCTCTTGCTTGGTAGCAATTTACTTCAGGTGTCTGTTTTCATTTAGCTGAAATGTTTGGATGTACTGCAAAGATTTGCAACACCACAAAAACATTTTTTTTTATATTTAAACTGGTGGCTTATTTTGTCTTTAGAGTAGATAATATAAACATAGATCTTTTGAGTTTTTTGTATTAATGTTGTTGTTTTTTTTATCTCAACTTAATGGCCGGAAAGACATTGTGATTTTACTAACTATCAAGGGCCCTTGTAACCGAATCCATTGTTAACAAACTTATGGATTTATTAAAAGTCTCAGTTAACGTGAAGCTCATCCTCGGAAAAACAGAGCACACATTCAACTGACAATAAACGGTAATGTACAGACACAAGTTCAACTAAATTACATGTATTATAACCAGAGCAGGTCAAGCTTATAAATTAACATGCTACCAAACGAGCCACCAAACTCTCTCAACATACACATATACACTGTTGTGATTTTCCTTGAGACCTTGACCAGTGGTCGGTTAGATGAATGGATGGATGGATGGGTGGTAGATGGATATTTTTATTAATCCTGAAGGACATTGTAGGTTTACAGTAGCACAATACACATATTTACATAGCAAAAAGGCATTTACAATTTCTTTATTTAGAAGACACTTTCATCCAAAGAGACATACAGTTGAAAGCAGGGTCAGACAATCCCTGGAGCACTTTGAGGTTAAGGGCCTCGCTTCTGGGATCCAACAGTGAAATAACTCAGCTGACTCTGGGATTTTAACTGGTGACCTAATGATCACAGACACAGCATCCTAAACCGCAGAGCTGCACACTGCCCCTATTTAGACTTTTATACACTGAATAATACTTTTAGAATTTAGACTTTTTATACAATGAATAATAGAATGCAAAAATGTCAGGGAAAGTATTGCATACAATAGTACAATAATGGCTCAGAAATATATAGTATTGCACAGTGGGTTGTGTAGTGAACAAATTTATGTTTTGTGAATGTGCCTAAGTGGTTGTACTCCATTCAGACAGTTAATTCTCCCCTCTGCAATAGGGTGCCTACTTGAGTCTAATGTCTGAAGGTATGAACAACCTTATTTAGTGCTCCTTGGAGCAGCACTACTGTCCGTCTGTTGATCCTCTGTTTGACCAAGACTACCAGAAGAGGATGGCAGACACTGGCCAGTATAGCCAACAGTTCCTGAGTGTCCTCGGTTCCACCACAGTCTCCAGTGAGTCTGGACTGGCTCCTGGAATGGAGCTAGCCTTCTTAATCTGTTTGTGCATTTTTTTTGCATTTGTGTCACTTGTACTGATGCCATTGCTCCACTGTATTGATGGTGCCTTCAGAAAATTTTGATTGGGGCTGCCCTAGGGGGCCTGCCTAACACACCATCACATAAAAGACTAGCAACAACCGACTGGTAGATGCTGTGTAGGAATGAGCTGCATGCGCCAAAGGATCTCAATCTTCTTGAGAAGCAGAGGTGACTGACACTTCTTGTACAGAGCCTCCATGATAGTCCTCCCCTCAAGTGTGTCATCTATGAGTCATCAACAGCAACAGGGGACATTGTGTGTTTGACCATCTTAAAGTCCATCATCTCCTTTTCTTACTGATGTTGAGATAGAAATGGTTCAGTTTGAACCACTCAGCTTCACTAGGATCCTGTATTCATCCTGTCACACCCAAGTATTGCTGTAATGTCAAAGAATTTCTGCAGGTGCCATAACTCTGAGGTGTGGATGGTGAAGTTGTGCGCTACTTGTGATCATGTCTGATACACAGTTCTTAAACTGCAAAAACTGTGGTCTGTTAGTCCCTTATCCAGACTGTGGAGGATGTATGCACCTGCATTCAAATGAGCTTTTCCCCCAGCAGCTTGGGTTGCATGGTGTTGAAAGCACTAGAGTGACCAAAGAGCATGATCATCACCGTGCCTCCATACTTATCCAGATGGGAGTGTGCTTGGTACAGCAAGTAAATGACAGGAACATTCACTCCAGTGTGGTTTTCATAGGCAAACTGCAGCGGGTCTAATTGTATTTTGGCTAGGGGATGGAGGTGAGCCAGTTAAGTCTTTCCAGAGTCTTTATGGGCAGGGGTGATGTCACATAGATGTATCAGGGGGTGGGGATTGGGCAGAAGGAGGGATGGATTGAAGAAGGATTGCTAGATTTAAGGATGGATGGATATTGTCATTTAATCAAATTTGATGAAACCAAAGTGCAGTGAAATGTGAACTGAGTGTTACACACGTCACGATGAAGCATTGATTGGCGTGTAACAAGTTGGTTTTATTTCGCCTGTAATCACAGAAAATAACAGTCACTCCTGATCGCTATACGCTGTGCTGACTGCTGTACCAGCTCGCGCTCGAACTGAGCTGCTTCTAAGACT